GAGCATAAAGGTCCTACACACATAAACCTTTATGCCCAAGGTCCGGACATTTCACTTGCCTGGAGCATCCTGAGCTGGCAATGGCGGAAGTAAGCGACTTTCTCACATTCGAGGCCTCTCTGCAGGTCTTGGTTTTTGTTTGGGTGCAAGGCTTTAGCGTTCCAAGACTCTTCTAGGGTCAAAACCGCCTACTCAGAGTTTTAGAGCTCGGGGTTTAAGCCTTTATGTTTCAGGGTTTGGGACTTTGTGCAGGCTTTATCACCCTCAAGACAAGGACCTCACGACTATGACCTGACTCTTCTAGGATCCTTCTTCTGGGGTTTCCAAAGCCCTGTGAGTAAGGAGGGGCGAAGACATGGCCCATGCGGGGGTTTCTGAATACGCGGGGGCCTCTGAAAAAACTTGAGGGTAGAGAATGAATTTGGCAGGATGCTCGGGTCTTTTTCGGGATCTCGGGCTGTTCTAAGAAAAGCCCGTTTGGCTTGCCCTGCTTCCCTTTGAATCCTCACGTACCTCCACTTGAAAGGGCTGGGACACTCCCCACACATTTATAGCTGTAGTTAGAACTGTAGGTATGATTTGCGCAAATATAAAGGCCCACAAGCTCCCCAGGCTTCAGTCTGGCTATAACAGCATCATATGTAAGTACGCCCTCCAAGTAGGGTCTGGAAGGGCACCGCCTAGACCCTAAGCCTTCAACCAGAAACCCGAAACCGCTTATCTCGAAGCCCTGGCAGGTCCCGCGCTTCAAACGGCTCACCACTTTCGAGTTTGAGACCCACGCAAAGCAGACATGATCAGAAAACGTGCCGATGGGTGAGATACATGGTTTACTGAAGTTTGGTTCATGTCCGCGGGTTTCTATTGCAACGCGGGCCTCATTCAAGCTTCCCCGTTTTGGGGACAGTCACTTTGGTAAACTCCTTGATACTGCTTTCACACCGAGCAAACTTGGTCAAGGACGTGCAGTACATAGTCTCAGGTCCAAAGTATGCCGCTGTCTTAGTGCATCGAGAAATTTAATTTTGGGGACAAGTGATGGGCTCCACTCATTCCTACCGCCAGAATTTCTGTGTTGGCAATCCCAGCGAACAGCACTGAAGCAGTCGCAGGGCATGGCATAAAGGCATAGATGAATTCTGAATGCTTGTAGGGTAACCTTGGAAATTTTGGAATGCTCAGAGAGGCAGTAGGTTCTAATTTATAAGTACCTCAGCCGCTGCAACCCAAGTGACTGGGGAACCCTTGTGCTGAAAAATGCCCACATAAGGTATTTGGTAGAAGGCGGTGGAATTTCGGGCATTGTTTTAGGCACGTTTTTTGTTCAGGCAGTCGTTTTCACAGGCGGGCGGCATGGCTGATCAAGACACGTCTTTTGCTTGTCAGCGTAACGGGCCAGAAAATGCTGCCCATTTCTTCCAATGTTCGGGATCAGTATAATTGGGTCGTAGTTGGATGAATATGCATGCTTCTGCATGCTACAAGAAGCCACAAGGAATGTACGCGCATGTTTAAAAAAAAAGTTGGAGTTTATAACCCTGTTGAATCCTTGTTGAGCTGGACTTCTCAAATCTCCTTGTAACCCCTATACATCCCAAGTGTGTCTGAACCACCCCCATTTCGAGAGGCCCCATATCCCAACAAGGAACAGTAGAATGGAGGAATGCGCCGGAAAGTTCTGATCAGGTTTCACTTAACCCCAGCCCCTAAAACGCCCAAATATAAACCCTATGCCCAAACCCTAAAGCCCTACACCCTCTGCATTCCATGTTCTTTTCCACTCCCCCACTTCATTTCTGGCTCCGTATAGTAGCCCCTACATAACTCCCAATAATATAGTAGTATATAATAGTTTTCATGTGTCTTTCCACTCCTCAACCCCTCATTCTTAAACCCGAAATCGTGAACCTTAGATCCTAGATCTTAAAGCGCTCAATCCTAAACCCGCCATTCTAGGTTCCATTTGTCTTTTCCATTCCTTCATTCCCTACTAAACACTAATGCCTAAACCCTAAACTAACAAGCAGCAGCTTTCAGCATGACTGTGGCCATCTCCGTGAGTCTGCTCAGCGGCAGAACCGTTTCCAGGTGGCAGCTTGGGGGTTGGGGTTAGGGACTAGTCGTTTGGCGATTAGCGTTCGGGATTAAGGTTTAGGGTGCAGTGGTTTGGGGTTAGTACTGTTTTGTCGGCAGGCCTCTTCGTCATAAATACCTTCCGGTGCCTTCAAAGTGCAACCCAGGTTTCTTTGGAAGCGGAACTGGACCTATCCATCAAGGAGTTGAAGCAGCGTGTGCAAACGGTTCTGGCAATTGGCAAGGGTCGGCTGTTTGATGTGTCCGGAAACGTCCTGGACGATGCATTGACAATCGAGAAAGCTGGCTTACAGAATGGAGACAGGCTCACGTGGCAAATGAGTAAGGCCCAAATATCTGCTGCAAACAAGGCGTTTGCTGCCATCCTTGGCGACGGATCTGTTGTTGCCTGGGGGGATCCTGCCTTCGGTGGGAATACCGGCGCGGCGCAAGCGCAACTGAAGAATGTACAGCAGATCCAAGCCACAGACAGCGCATTTGCAGCTATTTTGGCTGATGGCTCCGCTGTTACATGGGGCAATGCCGATTCTGGGGGCGACAGCAGCGCTGTTCAAGACAAATTGAGATGTGTGTGCCAAATTCAAGCCACGAAAAGCGCCTTCGCAGCGATCCTGGGCAGTGGAGAAGTTGTCACTTGGGGGCTTTCCTCCAATGGTGGCAACAGCGATGTGGTCCAGGACCTGTAGGGAAAACCGAACTTAAAACCAGGTGCTACTCTGTAGTGCCGCATCATTTTTGTGAGAGCACTTGTGATTCGCAACATGTCTAGTTCAGGACCAGCTGAAGGACGTGCAACAAATCGCAGCCACTCAGGCCGCGTTTGCGGCCATCCGGGCCGATGGATCAGTTGTGACCTGGGGGTACAAGCCCCACGGCGGCGACAGCAGCGCAGTACAAGACCAGCTCAAGAACGTCCACAACATCCAAGCAACTGAGAGCGCATTCGCTGCTGTCCTGCGCGACCGATCCGTCGTCACATGGGGTGGTCAACACCAAGGCGGCATCAGTAGCCCTGTTCAAGACCAGCTCAAAAATGTGCAGCGAATCGCAGCCAATCTGAACCTAGGCAGCAGTTTGGACAATCATGAACTTCCTCTTGTCCCAACTGCCAACTTCTAGGGACCTATGCATGAAGATCTAAGTTGGGGATCCTGAAAGCGTAACCCAGGAACGCCTTTGCTGCGATCCGCCTTGACAGATCTGTCGTCACGTGGGGTCAGGCGAGCTGCGGCGGCAACAGTAGCCTCATCCAAGACCAGTTGAAGAATGTGGAGGGAATCGCTGCCACTCGCAGCGCATTTGCTGCCATCCGAGATGATGGATCTGTCGTGACTTGGGGCTATGAACTCTTTGGTGGTGACAGCAATGCTGTTCAAAGCAAGTTGAAGACTGTACAGCAGGTGCAGGCCACGCACACTGCATTTGCCGCCGTCCTAGCGGATGGTTCGGTCGTCGTTTGGGGCGATACTTCATGTGGCGGTTGCAGCCGTGTAGTTGAAGACCAGCTGCAACATGTGCAACAGATTCAGGCTTCGCAGAGTGCGTTTGCAGCCATCACTAACGACGGATCGGTAGTAACCTGGGGCAACACAAGTTGTGGAGGTAATAGCGATGTGGTCCAAGGCCAGCTGAAGAGCGTGTTGCTTCTGGCCGCCACTGGAACAGCATTTGCCGCAATCCGAGATGATGGGTCAGTTGTGACCTGGGGCTGTGATCGCTGGGGAGGAGATGGTAGCGCTGTGCAAGACCAGCTGAGTTTTTGGCCAAAGGTCCCAGCCGCTCCAGACCATTGACCAGACATTGCGCAATTGTGGGCAGCTTCATGCTGTAAAAGCTTGAACTTTATTGTTAACTTAGAATCTCCTCACATATCTATAGAAGACATATTCCTCAAAACCAAGCGTTGCTCCTTGATTACGCGTTTGCATTTTGATGCATTTTGTGTGAGTCTTGTTGCCGTCTGGCATGGTTGTGCTGACTGCCTACCCTAACCGTCCAAATGCCCAAACAAGAGGGTTTCAGGTGCAAAAAGCACAGCAAGTTATGGTATTTGGAATTCAAAACCACCTAGAACTGCCTGGAACTTCATCGTCTGGACGCAAGGACCTTTAGTGCTCGTTACGTCTCAAAATTGGGTCCCCTCCTTTGCTACCAGGCCTAGTGGCGCCCATGGCTTACCCCAAGCCGTAGCTGAAGGTTGGGGTTTCAGGTTGTAGGGCTGGGTTGATAGGGATAGCTGTAGGGACCCCATGCCTTGGTAATACAAGCCGCCCCAGCATAAGGCTTAAACCCCGCATTTCAAACTTCACCCAAGATCCTGGTCACCACGGCATGTTTCTTAAAATGACTTCGTCGTTGAAGCTCAGCGGCTACTATTAAGTTGAAGGTAATCTGTCTGAAGAGGGGCGGGCCGGGAACAAGGACTATGTCAATTTTTCGGGTCTGCTTGGGGTACCATGAGAAGTTCGCACACGCAGACATCTGTTGAGAATAGGTTTTGGATGGTTTTGGGTTTGGCGCAGTTTTGGGTGTTTTGGTTTTTCAGTGGGGGTTGTGGGAGGGGTGCATATTTGGTCACAGGGCTTCTGAAGGGGAGTATGGCGGAATCCATGTTCCGCAACGTAAGGACTAATAGGGACACTTAGCTTAGCACCAGTAAGGTTTCATTGCGCAAGGACCCCACCCAAGGCCCCTTGTAATCAGCTTGTTGGGGTTACCCTGGGGCTTTAGGTCTATCAATAACTTCTATACTTTGGGTCTTAAAATGACCTCCTCTGGGCTAGTAGGAGTCCTAGGGTCAGGAAGGCTTTGCAGACATCCCAGACGGCGTAGACAGAATCGTCCAGGGTTAATGTCGGATCTGAAAGCAGCACGAGATTTGCACAATTGCGAGAAAGTGTACCTCAAATAGGCCTCAGTATCATGTTGCCATTTAGGCCCCTTGAAGAGGGGTCTCCAGCTACGGATGCGATGCAAAGCATCTGCGAAAGTCTCGGAGCTCTTCGTTGCAGAAAAAACCTGTCGGCTGTTCATAATGAATAGAGGAAGGGAACCTTATTGTAGCCGCTGTAGCCCCTACATTAATAGCATAGTAATTTCATGTCTTTCCATTCTTGCATTCCCAACTACCAGGTAACTACCAGGCAGCAAGAAAAGCTCTGCAGACATGAGCAGGCGGTTGCACAAGGCCCAGATGCGTTAGTGTTAAGGCAGTTTTCTTAGAAGCTACATGCATGCTTATGTAGCCTTATCCCTTAACCCTGAAACTGAAAAGGGTCGGTTGCTCCCGGATGCTGCCTGGAAAGTGAAACGTTTGTCAAAACCTTGTGAGTAATGTTTTGGGTAGTATAGCGGGCACAGAAAAGCTTGCGGCGTTCCAAGAGGAATTGGAAGAAACTTTCTGGTGGGAAGGTTCCCTGTATGAGCCTTACCCTCATATACCTTTCATTCTCTCCAGACAAGGCCTGCGCAAGCATCATATAAGTTTGCATCATGTGAGGTTACGCACCTACGAACCACCCACCTGATAATTTTAGCGAGAGTGCTCTCCAAGGAATATAATTACCCATGAACCTTCAAGTGATGCTTGTGATCCAATCTTTCATAGCGTCCCCGAGATATTCTTCAGCATCAACACTGCCTCAGGGTTCAGGGTTAAGGGTCCAAATATCAAAACGTTGAGGCAAACCATGCAGCCCTAAACTCTGGACCTGTTAAACTGCCTGGGACCTGATACTTCGTTGTTTGGTGCCTTGGTGGCGCGAAGCAGATGTGCCGCTTAGGTATTGTCACGGAAGCAGAAATGGTAGATCCCACAAGTAGGTGGACCCAAGTATAGTCTTCAGTCCGTATTCTGGGGACCCCAGTTTTGGGAAACCCTAATCCAATTAAACCACACAGTTTCCTTTCATCTTCCATGTTCTTGTCCATCTGCTTCTCCATTATGGGCCGAAGGCTTGTATCATATGTCCCTATATAGCCCTACACCCTCCAGCCTAAAGCCTAAAACTTACCTTCTTTTGCTGGGCGCAAACCGCTTCAACCTTAAACCTACATCGGGTAGGATTGTGGTTGTCTTTTTTCGTGAGTGTATAGGGTGATTCGGTATATTTGTGACTATATCTATAATATATATATAGTTATAGCTATATGTATATGTATATTTATTGGGTGTCCAATTGCGGAGACCACAAGTGACAACCATGGGTCAACGTAAGCCTTGCGTAAGGGTACTCACCCGGCAACAGCCGCCTAAAAAGCTCATAACATCAAGTCCTAAAGTTCCCCCAATGTTGAACCATTATCAAGGATGGAAAGCTTGAAAACCACAACATGTCTCATAAGGAGGCTTCATAGCCCCAGCCTCTCCAGATTTGGCTTCTGTTACTGTCGTATGCTAATCGGGGGGGGTCCTAGTTCGGCTGATTAGGATTACCGGGGGACCGAAGCCCTCAAAAGCTCCATTCAGACCTTCGGGTGTAGAGTTCGCGTTTGGGATACGTCTTCCATGAGGCTGCACTTGCCCTCCCCTACGTTCGGTCCTTTCTTGCCACTACCCCAAGCTATACACTTTTCATAGTTCCAAGTCCTTACAACATCTGAGATACCTCCTACCTGCAACCCAGCCCTGAAACCCAGAACTTTTTAAACCCTAACAGCCCCTAACCCAAACAGCAAATCTGTAAAAATCCTGGAGGCGACGCCCCTGAGCCGGAGGTGGTGGTTACAGAGGGTGCGGGCAAGTGCCGGGACCTTGGTAGGTCTTAGCTGAAGGCTTAAGACGTTGATGGAGGAAATCCTGCAACACCTAAGCCATACGAACTTTTTCTCTGGGTCTAGGGTTCCAAAGGTGGTGCAGAAACTCATCCATCAACAGCAGGTTTCAGTGCCTTTGAAATGTGTTGGGGTTTCAGGGTTGCAGGCCCTATTTAGGGTTGAAGGCTTGTAGATGTTTTAGATTGAGGCTTTGTGGAAAACACTCTAGGCTTTGTTTTTGATGGTTGTGCAAAGGATTGAATGCGTCCTCCACGCCATGGCAAGTCCCCACAAAGAGCGCATAGGTGAACATATTGCGAAATGCGAGTGTTGTCTAGGAGGGTAACTATAAGAGACTGTGGGATAACGCCTGGCGATAATTTGGGTGTCCCGAACTATTTAGGCATGGCTTTAAGGTAGTGGTTTGAGATCGAGGTTGGTGGGGTGACCCTTGCCTAATTAACGCACATGAATCTAATAGCCAAAGGGTTCCGAATTGCAAAAAACAAGGCAGCTGAGATGTGTT